AAGAACAGAATCAAAAATAAGATATAAAGTATTATGTATGTATATAATATATAAAATGAACAGTAGCTACAGTTCACATTGCAAACAGTAAACAGTGTTTTCCTTCATTTAAGAACTGTTTCTAGAGCAAAAAAGACCTGGAAGAAGTCCCTCAGGACTGTGACTCCCTCCCTCTCTGTTCATTTAATAATTGATTTTAAGATTTCACTGATCGCTCTTACAGAAATGTTTGACCCTTTTATGAGCCTATATTCTGTTTGTGCTGTCAAACCACTTTATAAACCCTGTGTTTTAGAAAGCTGCTATCACCGAGGAAGATGATTTTAAAATAGAACGAGCCAGTTTTAATCACGGCTACTCGTGTATCACTGAGACCTTTTTATTTGTGCTCGTTCCTGTGAAACTGGTACAGTTTGTTTATTTTTTTTGAAGGTTAAAGACCCTTTTGTCGCTACATTTTCCAAAACCCGACTCCTTGAAAGGTGTTTCAGAAAGAGAAAGTACGTATTCGGATCATTATACTTGAGAAAAAGAAGCAATAAAACAGTAAAAATACTCCATTACATGTAAAAATCCTGCTTAAAATGTTGCTTACTAAAAGTATGTGAGCAAAATGTTATTGAAGAGTTATTGAATTATTAATTTTGACTACTTTTATACTAGAGGTGGATTATCCTGTAACTACATCATATTTTAAAAGATTGTCACATGTTTTGTGTATAAAATCTTAATTTCTAAAAGCTGACAAAGATCATTACTGTAAATATGAAAGTTACACATCAAACCGACGACTTTAACTTATAGATTTAAGATGATGTGTAAATTATTAATGAATTATTTATTGAATATATCTTTGTTTAGGGTCATGTGGGACTCCAGATATCTATAAACACCCTGCAGGTCACAGTCAGAGGAAGAAAAGTACTAATAAAGTTACTGATACAAGTAAATGTAACACAAGCTCAACAGGCTAAAAAGGTTTGAAACCACTGATTTAATCTGTAATATTTTATAAACTTATATGTTTTAAATGTAAAATCATACATTAATAATCTAATAATGTCATATATATAATATAAATATCACCCACAGACTCCCTTTATTGATATATACTGATGATACTTCTGTACTTTTATGATTTTGAATGCAGGACTTTTATTTGTAATGGAGTATTTTTACTTTAAAACATATTATCCAGCCATTTTCAGAAAGAATAGAGACCCAATCTCATTAGTTAAACATATAATATATCAATGAAATCACTCCTCTGACCTTCAGATGAAAGTAATACTAGTAATAAATAAGATACAACAGATAATCATAGTCTAAATTACAGTAAAAATGTCATCCAAGGCCATAATATGAGTATATATTATTATATATACAAGTATAATCAACATTTAAAGGTGGATTTTGAGGCTGATAT